GAGTCTTCCCAGAGCTGTGCTAACACTGATGGTTGCTGGTATACAAACTGATGATACACATAGCCTGCCCAGAAGGTCAGTAAGTTGTAATAGTTATAAAACCAGCTGCTATAAACACCTTTTGCCACATTGAAAGCAAGGGAAAGGATCAAGTTTTGCAAATGGAATAAGAAGACAGTTATTGAGAAGAGATTATCCACGCTTCTACAAAAAGACTTAATAAATAAAACAGATTAAAAATAAAATCAATAGGGGAGAAAAAAGGAGACAGTGTCCTTTTAAACAATGGGCATACTGAGATTCTTCTGTGTGACTTCCCAGGAGATTTGAGTCTGCAAGACCTTGTGAAACATACTGAGAGGTTGGGAAAAATGAATTGTACATGAAGCAAATACAGCTCATCTGGTGCTAAAATGACCCTTTCAACAGACTGAATTACTCAGATGCTGATAGAGCCTGAGGAGGCAACACTGCCCTCAATTTAATCATATAGGGGAAAAAATAACCCCCCAGGGCTCTAAAATCTATTGCTAGTACTTTAGAAAATCATCTCTTCTTCCCCATTTGATGCGATTCTTCTCCATAAAGATGGAGGATTGTTGCTTCAGCTTTCAACAATTAAGATAACTGACCATGCTTGCTCTTTTTTATTTTTTTCAGTTGGGACCAATTCACAAATCTATACTCTCCCTTCTCTCCCTTAAGTGCGGACAGCAGGGAGAGCAATTATTTATACTTGATCTCATCTTCCAGGAACCTGTTACAGTCTGACCAAGTTCTGCCCTATTAAGCCTTTGGTGCCAGCACATCTGCTTTGCCTGTTTTGTAACTGGGCAACCTAGACTCCAGGCATCAGGAAAGCCACAAGCGACTGGTACCACCTGAGTCGGGGGGGTAGGAGGGCACATGCCCCCCAGTGACCGATCAGCAACTGGGGGGGGGGTCCCCTACTGTAGCCGATCTTGCTGACTGGGAAGTGCAAGCAGCGCTCCCAGAAGTGCCAGCAGTGCTTCGCCAGCAGTGCTTCAACCTAGTGCCCCCGCTCCCTGGCTGGCACTCGCAGGGGGGCACCAGCGCTCCTGCCTGCCACACCATCCATCACCTAAGCAGGGAGTGCTGCCTGTCAGGGGGTGCATGTGCACTCCCGTGCATCCCCTACGTGTCACCACTGAGGACAGCAGTAAGTTCACAGAGGCTGGCACAGACTCTACTTTCACCTGAAGCACCTGGGTTAAATTTGCCTGAATTACTCCAAAAAGCAGCTGCTACATAGATCTAGTTGATTAACAGGTGAGGACATTCCTCTTGTTTGAAAGGTGAGGAACTGAAAGTAAGATATGTCCTTGTGGTATACAGTGAGCCCACACTTCACTCCAGGGCAAGACACTTACCTGTGGAATATGCAGAAGTCATTGAAACTGCTGAAAGTTTACAAACTCAGTATACAGCACTGTGGCAATAACCAGCAACAGATTTTCAGGCCTGCTGTTCTTTCCACTTTAATTAGTGAATCATTATTCCTTAACCATGACAATAAAGAGTAATGTGATTTTGCTCCTTTGGGGAAAGGACAGGGAATCAAGAATTGGACTGTGAACTAGATTTGTGTCCTCTATATTGTGAGCTACATTTTCACTGGAGTAAAACTTGAAATGCAAAAAGTTTGGAGAGCCAGCAATTGGTAAAAATGGGCAAGTAAGCCCATGAGAGCCTAGCCTGTGACTTCAACTGTCTGTTTAAGGTCTTACCATCAGACAGGAAATTCCAGGCTCAGCTTTCTAATGGTAAAAAGTGTCTTCTTTTTATTGATACATAACTTTTGTGTTTGATAATCTTGAAAAATTACTGGATTATAAATCTGTAAAAAAAATGAGGGGGAGGATAAAAAAAATGAGCCTGACATTACAGATTTCAAGCTATATCACAACAATCTAGGAAGCCTCTGAGTTGGATGCTACGAAACACAGAAGAAACTGATGAACCTTCAATGTGAGCATGCTCAGTGTGGTTAGCATGGGAACAAGGAAGTACAGAAGCACAGTAAATCATGTCTCACAATGGCTGCTGTTTTCATTCCCTTACTGAAGAATGGATACAAAACCTTTTTCTTTGGACAGTGGATGCAAGGTTCAAGCATGTTCATTTCACTCCCTCTCCCCACTCTGAAGGGTTTCCATTGCTATTTCATCATCAACAGCAGCAGCAACAGTTATTTGGGGTTTACACACCCTCCCCCACTCAGTGATTTCTTCTGAGCATGCCCAGTAGGAATGGTTCAGAATTATACCAATCCACCTACAGAAATACCAACACAGATCCAGCTCCCATGTCATAGAGTTCATCAGTTTGCTGGAACGGGTGGTGTGTGTATATGCGTGTGTATGGGTGGCTACAGGGGCCTGGCACCACAGCCCCCTTTTCACTGGCCCTTGCAAATGACACTGGGATCACTTTCCTTGAAGATACTGGTGTCCACCATAATTCTAGAAGTATAATTAAATACTCAGTTTGCAAGGAGGACCAATTCCAATGTCATAGGATGATGCAACATCTGCAGAAGCGCTGTCTGCTGCCCCCTACTGATGGAGGTGGAGTCACAGGAGCGAAGTAGGCGTGGACTTTAATATTAGGTAAATGGGTCTGAAAAGATAAACACATTATTTAAAGAAAAAACAGCAGTGACAGTGAAACATTAGAGGCAAGCAGCAAAAGAGCAGGTGGAACACTGACAGACCTGCTCTTTTTTCTTTACTTGACTGTCTAAATGAAAGCATCTTTTCCCCCTTCACTAAAGGGTCAAGGCTTCTACAGATCCCAGTGGAGATTTAGAATTTCATTTTACTGTATTGTCATCAAGTTCTTCCTTATCTACAACTTCAGTTTTCTAACGGGCTCTGGAAACTACAACCTCTCCCATGCTAGCAAATTTCTTCTACCTGTATTTCCTCACTCAGTAAAATTTCAGAGCCTTATCAGATGGCTTCACTAATGAACCAGACAGAGGCAGTGATGGTCCTGAATAATAGCTGTGTGCCCTTTTCTTTTCTAAATTACATATGTAGAGCTAATGTTTGTTTTTTTTAAATAGACTCCGAAATAAAAAGGGAGCCAAACTTTGCAAATCTACAACAATGGTTTAGAGCAGGGGTAGGCAATGTTTTTTGGCCGGAGTGCTGAAAAAACCACAATGTCTACCTTGACAGGTGCTGGAGTGTTGGCACATAAGAAAAACAAAATGAGCATGGAGCAGGGCTGGGGCCGAGGGCAGCGCGGGGCTGAGGCCAGGGCCGTCTGGCAGCACATGGCTGGGGCCGGGGCCCAGGCCATGGGCAACGTGGGGCTGCTAGCAGTGCTGGGGCCATTGGCAGTGCCAGGATGAAGCTGGGACCTGCGCAGGTCCACAGCCCCAGCCCCACACAGGCCCCATCCCCATGCCGGCCCGGCAATGGCATTGGGCTGGGGCCAGAAGCAGCGTTGAGGGCTGGGGCCCGGCCTGCTGGCAGCACATGGCTGGTGCCAGGGCCATCTGCAGCGCCAAGATGGGTCCCGGGCCCTGGCCCTGGCTTCATCCTGGCGTTGCAGATGGCCCCGGCCCAGCAGCGGTGCAGGGCTGGGTGGCGGTGGAGATGTCAGCCAGGGCCGGGGCCGGGGCCAGGCCTACCGGGATAGGGCCGGGGCCCGCACAGGTCCACAGGCCTGGGCCCTGGCCCCAGCGCTGCCAATGGCCGCGGCCCAGCAGTGGTGGTAGAGGTGCTGGCCAGGGCTGCATCCGCCAGCAACACTAGGATGGGGCTGAGGCCCGGCCCGCTGGCAACATGAGGCCAGGGCCGTGCCCGGGCCCCAGCCTCATCCTGGTGCTGCACACAGCCCTGGACCAGCAGCAGTGCTGGGCTGGGGCAGGCAGTGGTGGTGCCAGCCAGGGTCAGGCCCAACAGCAGCACGTGGCTGGGCCTGCCAGCAGCACCAGGATAAAGCCCGGGCCCTGGCCCCATCCCACCACTGCCAATGGCCCTGGCCCAGTAGCGGTGATGGAGGTGCTCACTGGGGCCATGCCCGTCAACAGCGCCAGGATGGGGCCGGGGTCGCATCCGCCGGCAGCATGTGGCTGGGGCCATCTGCAGCGCTGAGATGGGCCCGGACCCCAGCCTCATCCCGGCGCTGCCGACAGCTCTGACTCGGCTGGGGCAGATGGTGGCAGTGGCGCCAGCCAGAGCCTGGCCTGCCGGCAGCATGTGGCCAGGGCTGTCTGTAGTGCTGGGATGGGGCCAGGGCCTGTGCAGGTCTGCAGGCCCCGTCCCAATGCTGCAGATGGCCCCAGCCTGGCACTGGCACTGGGCCAGGGCCTGGAGCGGTGATGGTGCCAGCTGGGGCTGGGCTGCCAGCAGCATGTGGCCAGGCCTAGGGACAGGGCCTGTGGTGGCAATGAGGCTAGACCCGGGGACGGGGCACACGGCAGCGATGGGGCCGGCTGGGGATGGGCCTGGTGATGGGGCTCATGGCAGTGACAGGGCCGGGCTGCTGGCGGCATGTGGCCAGGCCAGGGCCCGCAGCAGCGATGGTCTCGGCTGGGGCCTGCCGACAGCACGTGATTGGGGCTGGGGCCATCAGGGCATGGATGTGCCCAAAGATGGGGCCCGCGGCAGGCAGGGCTAGTTTGGGGCCAGGGGCTCTAACCTGGCCGGTGTGGTCAGGGTGTTCCAGGGCCTGGGTCTGCTAGGCTGTTCCCAGGCAGCCATGTGCTGCTCAATTTGGGCATGCCCCTTCCCACCCCTTGGGGCAGAAAGCAGCCCGCGTGCCAATAAAAACCATGCTGTGTGCCACATTGGGCACGCGTGCCATAGGTTGCTGGCCCTGGTTTAGAGGCTTATTGTGAATTAAACTCTTGGATTCAGCTAACAAGTGGAAAAACAAACTGAAAACAGTAAGCAAAAAATTGCCATTTGATTTAGGTATTCCTTGTCAGTAGTCAAATAATACTTAGCTCTTATATAACATTTTTCATCTGTAGTCCTGAAAACATTTTAAAAAGGAAGTCAGTAGCACTATTCCCATACTACAGACGGGAAACAGGTGTTAAGAAGGAATGAACTGGGAACTGAATCCAGATCTCCTGAATCTTAGTATTTCCTACTGGTCAGTTCCTGGACTATCTCCAAAAGATTAAAAATGCAAAAGATTTGTTCAAGTAATTTACCAGCACACAGGGCTATGTCAGTCTAAAGTCTACTACAATGCACTTCATAAAATTATAGCAACCAATATAAGAGACCATTCTATTATTGACCCTGGTACTAACTTTTTATTGAGAAATGATGTCAGATACTCAGTTTTATGAAAGAGCCTCATGTCTATGATGTGATCAACAGTGAGCTCGTTCTCTCATATTCCTTCACTGGGCTTCTTAGCTGGAACAGCAACTGGAGGGAAGAGACACCATTCCTTCCCCACTAGCTAGTGCTTACCATCTTCAGCCTTTCCTTAAATGTTGTCCTTCTTCCTCTCTCTCAGGCAAGCTAAAGAACTTGTACCAATCATGGGTGACTGGTGCCACATTAGTCAGGAGGGTGGGGGGGAGGGGGAGGGCATGCGTCCCCTCGCGGCTGATCCCATGACAGCCAATAACTGCAGCTGCTTCTGGGAGCAGCTGTGGCCGCTGCTTGCAGGGGAGGCACCGGTACTCCAGCCTGCCCCCCCTGCCCATCGTCTAAGTGGCAAGTGTGGCCAGTCAGGGGGTGCGCCAGTGCTCTCAAGGGGTGCACATGCACCCCTATGCATCACATATGCATCACCACCGGGTCCAGTCCTCAAACCCTTCCTGACTTTAACATATGTAAAAACCCTATTAGGGAGAAATGCAGTTACTGAAGAAAATTTGAAGTCAAAGCTTTAGCAATACTTGTTTTTTTACCCTGAGTCTCTTGATTCCTGCCCGTGTGATCTGTTGACAGTCATAAAGTTCTATCCTCTCCAGGCTATGACAGCTCTTCAGGTGCTCCAGGGAAGCATCTGTGATCAATGGACAGTTATCCAGCTCGATCACTTCCAGACGATCATGTGCACAGGCACCATTCCCCAAGTGACGAATCCCATCATCTGTGATCAACTCACAGTGTGATAAACTCTGCAACCAAAGAGAAGGGGTTAGTATTTTGAGCTGTAACCTGATGTACAGTTGTGGATAATATCATGCTACTAAGCTTCTTAGAGAATGAACTCAGATTTCTAGACTATACCATACTTGTCCCGAAGTTTGACATGGTAAATTTGCAGGTGTTTAACCCTGGAGATAGTTTTGAGCTCCAAACTCCAGGAACCAGAGTCCATGGGCTTCTCTAACAGCCTAAGATTTCTAGAGACCAAAGGGAAAAACTGATATAAATCTAGAGCTAATGGAAGAGAGAGACAGAAGAACAGCCAAGCACTGTAGAGAGACAGGGAACAAATCTCAGCTACAAGATATACCCTCATCAGAAGTTTATCTGTCCTTAAATACTGAAAAGAAGTGCCTCAGCAACTGTGGCAATACTTTTGAGAAACTACAGAGACTAGCATTATCAGAATGGCATAGATTTACATTCCATTTGTGAGCTGCCCTTATTTTTAAATATTCTTGTATGTTAAATTGAACTGCATGGAGAGCTGGGAAACTTCAGCTATCTCAAATGCTGCTCAGGCCATCACTGGAGTATCTCTATAGCTCATGTGTCATCTGTTTTGCAGAAGATAAAAAAACAGGAGCTGCTCCAGGGGAGAACACACTGGGAGAAGATCCCAGAGAAGTGCATATAAAGAAGTTTAATGCTATGGGACCTGCCTGTCCAAATGACACTAGAAGACCCTGGCCAAAGGCTTTAGATCTGAAAATCTTTCAGCCACAAAATTTAAATTTGAAGAAACAACACAGATAAAACAGGAGCACTTGCAGTGAGCTCCACCCTCCAGTGGTGTTTTATCACACTCTTTCCCCCTGAAAGAACAGATTTTAATAGTGAGGAAGACCTGACTTGCAGGTGCTTGATTCCTGTATGAAGCAGATTTCCAGTCAACCTGGAAAAACATATTATGGGGGACTGAATCTTACAACACACACGAGTTAAATTTGAGTACCAACAGTTACAAGCCAGAAGCCTTCATTCTTTAAAGCTTAGCAAAGAAAACCCTTTTATTCCTCTGTTCCTTGCTTTAGTTATGTTCATTAGGGTCTGTCATTTACTCCCTTCATTCTACGAATAACCCTTTATAGGTAAGTGAGTATAGCCAAGGCTGCTAGGACTCACAGGTCTCCACAAAAGTATTAACATACATCTCGCACCTAGAGTAGGATTTAGACTCAAAGGTGATAGTGATTCTTATTTAACTGCCTTTCAGCAAAGACAGCTTCCAAAGGAGCATCAAGAAAGGAGGGTGGCAGTTTTTCACCTTTGATTCTTATCCCCCCAACAATCACTCTGTTACTTAAGCACCTCACAATCTAGATCAGTGGTTCTCAACCCTTTCAGGGTCAAGACACTCGACTGCCACTTTTTTGATTCCACAGCCAGCAGCTCCCCCAGCTGAGAACCACTGTTGGTGCTGCCTCAGCTTACCCCAATGCTTCTTAGCTAGGTTCTGCTGTTGAGAAGGGCTGTGCAACTGGAATGGAACTGCCCTGTCCTGCACAGCTGTCCCAGGAAGGGCTGTGCATGTTCCTCCTAATACTAAGGCTCTGACCACCCTAAAGCAGGCAAAAGCTACCTCATGCAGTGCAGCTCTTTCTGGTTCAGCACCCACAATACTCCTTCTGGAAACAGAAGCTCATTAGAGAACAACCCCAATGCAGGGGGAGCACGCAGGGAAGTTTACCTGGCCACTGCTTCTGTGACACCCTTGATGGTCTTCACACTCCAGTTGAGAACGACTGATCTACATTTATCCATTTCAAAACAGCCCTGTGAACTAATGGGTACTAGTATCCCACTTTATAGATGGAAACAAATGCACAGGGAGACTTGAACCCTGGCTTCCCAAGTCCTAAGCTAGGACCCTATCCATGGAACCATCCTTCCTTTCTTGTTTTCTCCAAGGGCATATTCATACAGACACTAGGCCATTAATAATACACCTCTGGACCAGAGAAATCTGTAACAAACAAATGAGTCATTATCTCTGTCTACACTCACACTGATTTGTAAATTTACATAATAAACACTAACCAGATTTCTAAAATGACAAGGAGAAGTGTTACAATAAAGAAAATAGGGGAAAAAAGCCCTTAAATGGTAAGGATATTTTGAAAAAAGGTAAAACCCCACGCCTGATCCTGCAACAAGAACTTATGGCTTGAAAATAGCCCTACAATGCATGAAATCACTGAAATAGCCTTCAAAATAGCAAACAGCAATACAGTAATAAGATGTAGAAAAAATCCTTACTGGATCACACAATGTGCAACTGTAGATCTTAGGAATCAAAATGTAGTAGCAACCTCACAGAATAGCAGAGGGAGTACAATGCCAATTTAAAATCAAAGGAGCCTAAAGGATTTTGGCAGGGAAGCAAAGCACGAAAGTAAATTACAACAGTCTCCTTTGATCAGCATGTATTGATTAAGCTATAATCTGTGGACCAAAAGATGCATTCAAAAGAGCAACTATACACCTTGCTCCCCAGGAGCTCTAGCTGAAATAGAGCAGTGCATTCTAAGACTAATAGTCACCACAAGTTACAAGCACCATATTAGAGATGAAAAAGAGCCATTGTCTTCATCTCATACAGACTGGGTATAACCAGCATATGCCCAGGAAGTCATACAGGAAATCTCTGACAGGCAGGATCATTTATTTTAGGAAGAGACACACTGAATATTCCTATACAAACAACACTTACCAAAACCTGAAGCCGTGGACAGTGTATGGAGAGTTGGATTAATGTACTATCTGTTATCTGGAAGACACAAAAAAGTCTTTTAAGACTGGCACTTTCACAAAACAACTTTCTTCCTAATTTGAACTGTGCCTAAATGAAAGTGACATTCTGCTGTATAGGTTTCCCTCACTTTAAGCGGGTTCTGTATGTGCGAAATCGCTTTTATGTGATGACCCTTTTTATACCAAAAGTTCATTATATGCAAGGTAAATTCACTCTTATGCGATCGGTGTGGTGGAAGGCTGCAGTCAACTGCTCTGTGTGGTGCATTGTAGAAATGATGCACATCCAGATATAGTCTCCTGTGTGGATCTGTGCTCCTCACTCGTTGTCTGCGACGTGTGTTTCTGTAGTTGCCATCCCCATTGTGATAGTGCCTTGTGCTTGTGTACTGTCTGCTCTTGCTGAGTACCAAAACCATCTTGTAAAAGTGGTAGAAATGGGTCTGGGGGTCAGTACAGTCGAGATTTTGGAACATATCTCTTTGTTACGTTGTAAAGTGGGCTCCCTTTATGCGAATTTGAGTTATACGCTGTTTTCCAGGAACACATGTACAGCACAAAGCGAGGGAAACCTGTACATCATCTAAAACTGACAGTTACTAACTCCTGAACATTTCTGGAGATTGTCCTTAGCTGGCCTACACTGTAGGTAAAAGTTCACATTGATCCTTTAATATGGAAACTGAGAAAGATTTTTAACATGTTATGAAGGTGTTCTTTCCCCTCACTTCCCTTAGGAGTTTTTAAAGC